GTTATTTTCAAGATCCTTTATAAATATAATTTCCATTTTCCTTAAACATACCAGTCTTATCATCATCAATAACTTGTTTCCAGCTCATATAGTTAACATTAACATCATGAACGTTATCATAATCAATAATCCCACAGTTATCATTATCATCACTAGTATCATTATTTATCACAACAATAATAGTCAATGATCTTACAGGTTGATCTCTGAACCGGCGTTTGATCTGTAAGGACTAGATTACCCTTGCTATGCCCAAGTTTGACGACCTTCTGACACATCTTGGGACTGGGAGATGGAACCTGCTCTATGCCATCGCTATGGCCTATTGTTCGTATTGTATATGTGGGATTTTATTCGTATTAGTGACATATTGATCTCGGAAAAATAAAATGTTCTGGAATATTTTCCTCGTAGGTGTATAGGCGTTTTGATATCCGGAAAAAAATCCTGCTTTGAATGATCTGTAGGAATTATGTAAATCGTATATTTTCTTTATCTATTATTTTTCATTTACCCTTCTGTGTATTTTTTTCTCTTTTTTACCTTTTATCAGGGTCTCTGCAGGTTCCCTACCACAGCATGGGCGCGGCATTCCTAACACCACACCAAGACTTCACATGCGTTAACTCCGACGTGGACATTCCTCAAAACGGGTAAAGCGTTTTTGAAGCTTCAGTCAATGTGGTTGCTTACTAAGTCTGAATGTGGAAGATTTATGTTAACAGGAAACGGAAGGTAAGATATACATTTAATGAAAAGAAAGAGGCACATTTTTTTAAGGGATATATTTTTGTGTCCTTTTTCCTTTGTTGTTTTGATTTATGTATCTATTATTTCTGTCTATCTAAATTTCTATCTCAATGAATGATAAAACACCCTGCCGTGTAGATGCTCTAGTAGAAAAACCCACAATGCACAAATTAGATTTATAAATAACGAGAGAATAAGTTTCGAAAGACACCCGGATATAACTTTCTTTTTATCTGTCCACATCTATGAGCCATTGACATTGACACTGTAGGAGGGCTCTTTCTGCCACACGTTATCAGCTGAACTTGTCAGCATCATGTACTGTCATGCATTTCGCTTCACGTCCACGTCCGCAGCCTCGTGGGAAAAATCTCATGTCAACTAACTGCTTTTCTTTCACCGAAGTATCGATTTTTCTCCAACTCGTGACTTGTTTGTTACTTAATATTAACCCAAACATCGATCATTTTGCAACTGTTATCATCATCGCTGCTTAATTATAAGCTATGGATCACACACGTAGAGAGAGAGAGAGAGTCTGTTTTATCTTGTTTTTAAATTACCACCTGTGTGCAAGGATTGGCCAGGGTTACCATCCACTGGCGGCAAGGGATTTGAAGGCAAGTCAGCATGATTGCCAGACGAGACCGCTACCGCTGCACCACACAGCACTCAACTTTGACCTAAACAACGACTTTTCCCCAATAGATATCCTTGCTTTCCGCATTCTCAAATAGCTACCTTAAACCAATTATCTCGAGCCTTCCATGTGCTTATCAAAACACTGCCCTTATCATCACCTGTTTACTAACTACCTCCCTTATCAGCGTTTCCTAGGAGATGAAGATGAAAACCATGTGTATTCCGAAACGTTTTTTTCTGATAAATGTGTGTTGTGTTTATCAGCTATGTGACGCAGGGCCACGTTGATTTGTGTTCTTTTATATATGTAATTATGTACAGTCGCTAAAAGAAAAGCATTTTTACTCAGGAGCTGATAAAACAGAAATGTTGATTCCAAAATATTAGTACTTGTTTTAAAAGCTTGGAACAGACGGAGCTTCATACTGTGTTCGAATCAGAGCTGATATGACAAGGGCCTCGTATCACGCCAACATTAGTAAGGGAGACCTCATAGACCATTCGTAGTGTCATAATTACACTTTAACCTGAGGGATATCAAGAGCCAAAATATCAAAAAGGTTAGGTATTCCGAAGCCAACTGTGTCTGTGGATCCAGCGATACCAAGCAACTGGATCCACCAGGGACTAGACCAGAAGTGGGCACCCTGGAAGCATGACGGAGGAAGATGATCAAGTAAATGTCTTTCAAAACTATTAATCAATGTGCTATAGGAAAGACAAATAGGAAGATTGCATTGAAGTGCATAGGAGCGATTGCACTCTGCAGACGGCCGACAGTTAACGGCGGCGTTAGTGGCATCCATACCACTAAACTTGCCAGCGTTCGCCAAGCTGGTGGCGGTAACACGAAATATTAATAGTATTATACATTTCAAAACCCTATTGATTAGTAAAGGTAGTGGCCCGGAGGGGGGGGGGGGTTGGGGGCAAACAGTCAATCAGTCTTTCCCAAATGACGCTCCTCTCAGGTATATTAATATCAGGTCAAGCTCACTGCACTATTTCCAATCGTTTTCGTCGTCGTATCATATTGTTAAGTTAGAAAGATACTTTTTTATGTGACTGTACGCATGCATTTATATATATCATGTTTACATATATGGAG